CTCATCAATGAAGTGATAAGGAGTCGAAATTCACTCAAGTTCAGCAAAACCCAAGACTTATCGATGTGAAAAGGGGTGCGATAAGAGCGGCTATACCTACTTACTATAAAGCGCTTCGTCTGTCGTTCTGTCTCTGTCGTCTGTCTGTCTGTTCTGTATGTCTGTCACGAAATTCCCTAGCTCCTCGGGATCCGCCTGGAGGGACCGGGTCAAGTGTGGGATGGGTGGGCAGGGTCTCACGTAATACAAAACACACATCAGCTAAGCGGAGCCCCGCCCACAGAGGGCGTGGCGTGCGTCGAAATGAATTGTACCAAAGACCAAGATTTCGATTTCAGTGACAAAACGACCTCGAAACTGGGCCAAAAAGTGGGTAAGGTGTGCATTGGTAAGTCACATCGAATTAGGGAGACCCACCCCCGGTGGGCGGGGCGTTCTCTAAAAAAGCAGTGCTTTATGAAAAATTTCATAACTCGGTTGGGAGAAAGCCTACAGAGCAGAAAACAATTGGTGTAAGGGAGCAATGTCTAAGGTGTTTCCTGCATACATGACGTGGGCGGAGGCCTGCCCAGAATGGGCGGGGCGCGCTCTGAAGTGTACAGCATTTTCTACAAGCCCTCATAATTCGGGTCGGGGAAGTCTTAAAGAGCCGGAAAAAGGTGGATAGAGGTGTATGGAGGAGTGGAGGCCAGCTGTCAATGGTGGGCGGGGCTTGACCAAAGTGGGCGGAGTTTGCGACGAAAAATATAACTCGGCTCCAAGAAGTCCCGGAGGCCGCGGAAAAGGTGGATGGAGGTGGGTGGAGGAGTGGAGGCCAGCTGTCAATGGTGGGAGGGACATGACCAAAGTGGGCGGAGTTTGCGACGAAAATTCATAACTCGGCCCAAGAAGTCCAGGAGGCTGGGAAAAAGGGAGTAGAGGTCGGCGAAGGAAAGGAGGTCAAATGCTATTAGTGGGTAGAGCACGCACCCAAGTGGGCGGAGTTTGCCAAAAGTATCGCAATTCGGTTGCAAGAGGTCCTAGAGATAGGGGAAAACGGGGTTAGAGGTTGGTGAGGGAAAAGAGCTCAACTGCTATCACTGGGTAGAGCACGCACCTAAGTGGGCGGAGTTTGCCAAAAGTGTCGTAATTTGGTTCCAAGAGGTCCCAGAGACCGGTGAAAAAGGGGGTAGAGGTCGGCGAAAAGAAGGGAGCCAAATGCTATTGGTCGGCAGGGCACGCACCGAAGTAGACGGAGTTCGCCACGAGATTTATTGTCCGGGCCGAGGACCGAGAAAAATAGGATAATGGTTGACGAAGAAAGAGCGCATAGAAATTTAGCGGAGAATTCAGATATTCGTATTGTATCAAGCCAAATTTGAAATTTTTCGTCGCACCATCAAAATTCGCCACAGATCTGTGTTGCGCGCGCAATGCGTGCGGCGCCAACTGGTATGATACGTTATCGTTATCGTCCCGTTTTCATTCTGGAGTGCACCTCTTATCAAGCAGCCGCACCTTCTTATCTCATCGTATCATATCTTCCATGGGCTTACACTCGTCCAACAATTACTGCCTCACACCTTATCGATTGATAACGCGAGGGTAGCAAATCCAGCGTGGAAGCCAGCGTGACTGCTTCCTTTAAGTCAATGCAAATTAATAACATAGGGGTTGAAGGTAGCACTTTGCATTCTAATGAAGCATTTGTTTGAAGCACTCCGCAAACTCTTTATACAGTCATCTCAGTTAACAAAGTGGCGATGCCAGAAATCCTTTCGGCTATGCTGCTAGAAAAATGCGCGTCGAAAACGAAGCCATAATGTGAAGCAGTATCAGGATAGATTTGAAATTAGTGTCCCATGGTGTATTCAAGCGTAAGCGTCTCACCTCTAGGCGGCGATATGCCAAAGATGGCAAATGAAAGGATGTACGCTCTATATTACCGTAGTCCTGCACACTTTTCAGGGCAATAACTTCAATCAACAACTACGGAAAATACAAGACAACGAAAAGGAATGTCAACTGCGTGGTCTTTCTTTCTGCACAGTAGGTTTTCCGGCGTTCTTCAAAATGCCGAATTTAGCTGGCGGAGGCAGAAATAGCTAAAGGGATCTTCCAGGCTTGACACTTCTGACTTACCTGTGCTGAAACCACAGAAAATGGATAGTGATGCTACAATTGTAGCTGTTGGCTTCAACTGTGAGTGAATGACAACCTTTGCAGATCGAAATTGTTCAGTTTTATCCTATTTATTTCAGCGACCAACTTGGAAAAGATTGTTGATCAAAAAGGAAGAGCAGTCAAAGTTCCTTTTGCATTTACATCAGAAGACGTTCAGAATGTCGTCAAAGCCGTACTTTTTCAATAGTTGTATAATGAAATGTTAAGTTCATGTTTTATTTCATTCATTCCTTGGACTTGCGTGAATCGCAAGATTGCTCGAAAGCAGAGCTTCCTTCAAATTTCATTTTAGAATAATGATCGGAAAGGCGTTTAGAATGGATTAAAAATTCTGCACTCCTCAAAGAATGAATCACTCCAGAAACCCTAACTCTAGCTCTGTCCTGACCCCCATCTTGGCCTTACCCCCTCTAACCCTACCCAGCCCTGAGTTTCGTTCCCTCTTCCAGATTTGACGCCCCAGCCTAATCACCTGGGCGGAAGTGGTGTAGTGGCAAGTGGCACGCTTACCACGCGAGCGGTCCGGGATCAAATCCTGGGTCGTGAGTCGCCCGGGCCAACCAAGCCTTCCATCCCTCCGGGGTCGGTTAATTGGTACCAGACTTGTCTGGGAGGATAAAAACACTGACTTGTACATCGGGCCCCCGCAAGTCATTGTATAGGCCACATCGCATTCAAACGCCACTACGAATGTACAAATGGAAGTAGAATGCGTGCCGCATCCCAAAAAGGGATTGATCAACGGCAAATGCTTTATCCTTATACTTTATCGTAATCCCATAAGGTGGTGCTATGGTAACCCGTGATGGGGCTAGAGGAGGGTCATGGGAAGTTATGTAGCGCTCAAAAGTCTTCGGTGAAACACTTTCGACTGCAATATTTTGCGCTGAATCAAGTCAGATCAAGTTCTAATATGTTTGGATTTAGCGAGTAGAGTATCGAGTAGCTTTCGGTCGCTGTATTGCTAGAAGGAGAAGTAGTACCGTACATCCGCTAGAAGTGTGGATACATAATACCTTCTGGAACCTAACTGTATACGCCCCTTCACCTGATTGCGAATACTGCGAAGTTAGTCGGCGGTGAACTGGTCGGGGGCGAAATGGGCTTACGCACACCTAAAGTGGGGATCCCCATAGGGCTACAACGTCCTGCGGACCAACGAGAGTAAATTCAAGATGTTTGCCGGCGACTGAAATAGGAATGTGTGGGGTCCTGAGGGAAAACGTTTCGATCCAAAGTATTAACTTTGATAGTTTTACGTACCTATAAAAGTTAATACTTTTGAAGGAAATGTTTCCCGTCAGGACCCCACACATTCCTATTTTTATAGGTAGGTAAAGCTTGAGGCAGGGATAGCCGAGTGGGCAGGGATAGCCGAGTGGTTAAGAGGTTAGACTCATGTCTGCACCTCTGAAAAACCGCGAGTTCGATCCCTGCCGAGGCTCTAAACCATGCCTTGCAAAAATTGCAAAAATGGTTCTAGTACCAGCGTCAGGCCCAGGTTGACAGGCCGGCTGATGAATACCCCAGTCACACCAACATGTCTAAAAGTCGAAAAGAATCAGTGATAAAGCTAGGACGTCACCCGGAAGTGGCGCGCAGAACCCCCGCCCGAGTTCTGTGGTCAGTATGCGAGGGCTACCGAGGAGTGAACGGCCTCGGCCAAAGAAGCTAGTTCGAATTGGGACTCTGAACGTAGGATCGCTAACTGGGAAGTCCCGAGAGGTTGCTGATCTGATGACGCGCAGGAATATCCAAGTCCTATGCCTTCAGGAGACGCGATGGAAAGGTGCTAAGGCCAGGGAAATCGGGGAAGGTGTCAACTCTACTACAATGGAGAAGACACCAAGCGGAACGGTGTGGCCATAGCGGTAGCGGAGTCGCTCAAGGACTATGTCTCCGCTGTGAACAGGATCAGCGATCGGATCATGGCTGTGAGGATAGACACGAAGGAGGGGTACTGGTCAATACTCTCCGTGTACGCACCGCAAGCCGGATGCCCCGAAAGTGATAAGGACGAGTTCTATCTGAGCCTGGACGAAGCCATAAGATCGATTCCGGAAGGCGATTACCTGACCATAGCAGGTGATCTGAATGGTCACGTCGGCAGTGACAGAAGAGGCCTAGAAAGGGTGCACGGAGGTAGAGGGATAGGAGTGAGGAACGCTGAGGGAGAGAGGGTTCTGGACCTGGCTACAGCCCACGATCTGGCAAGTCTGCAGCACGTTCTTCGCGAAAAGGGAGACTCAAAAGGTAACCTACAGCAGTGGAGGGAGACAGACGGAAATCGACCATGTGCTGGTAAGAAGATCATCCCTCAAAACTGTGAAGGATATCAAGGTACTCCCTGGCGAAGACTGGCTCCCCAGCACAGGCCCCTCCTGGCAGACATTGCGAT